ATGTGATTGCCTATTTTCCTAAGCCCATTGTCTCTGGGCAGAGAAAGATGCAGAGTTGTGTGTCACTGCTGAGTAAAAAGTTTGGCACCATGAACAAGACAAGAAAATTATAAATATATATACCAGCTTCCTAACCTTCAACTCTTGCCACACATGGAAATAAATTTATTGTCTCAGAATTACATTTTGCAGAAGCACTCAGGCTCATATCTCAGTAAAAAAGCAATTTTTATCTCTTTAGAAATTAAAATTGTAGGACAGGCAATTTGGCATAAAATGATGGACATTTAGTTCACTGAGAATCATATTGGCAGCTTACTGATTTGTTCCATGTATCTGGCCTGCAATTTCACTTTTATCTTATGAGAACTTCAGTGTTTTCCTTTGTCTTTAAATAGCTATTTAGGTAGTTAAAACTTATCAAACTTTTAATTCCTGTGATAAATACAGTAGATAGTGCCAGTTATTATTTGTAATTAAAGTGAATACAAACCGGATCAATGAGCTGTACAAATTTTCTTTATTTCTAGGCACATGTAGAAGGAATATTCCCTCAAGCACATCCATAAGGAAAGATGATAGACACATTTCTTATATTCATGATGTAGACAAGATATAGAAAAGGACTGTGCTTTTTGTTTGTATTCTGTAAGATAAAGGGCATGTAATAGTGCTAGGGTTGCAAAGACATTTTTCAGTTTTATAAATGATATATGAGCTCTGACAGATTTTCCAGTGGTGATGGGGGGGTCCTTAAGAGTCAGCATTCTTTACTATCACATAAATGTACTCATTAGCCCTTTGGGCCATGCCCTGCATCCTGTAGGGGCTCGATAAAGATTAACTGAATGAGTGGATTTAGTTTAGGGTAATATTATTCAAGGAACCATGTTGCTCCGTGTTCAGTTATTTAAAAACAAAAACAATAAAATGATGAACAACTATCACTGCTAGAAATCTTGTTCTGCTTTCATATCACACTAAGGTTCAGCAAGGGTTCATAGGGAATATTATGATCTTGCAGAATTCACTGGATATGAAAAGCAAAGAGCACGTGATCACATTAAAATTTATGGCGGTGCTGGTGGCATGGCGCTGGTGGGGAATTGCAGTTAAACACTAATAATAACCAAGTATCACAGCAAACACATTGACACCCCCTGACATTTACTGGGGGCTGCTTAAATCTTAAATGTAGAGGTAGTGTGTTTAAGTCCACATTTGTATTGTTAACAAGGTTATTCTCAGAGATAAGCCAAGCCGTTTTATTGATAATTCAAACTAGGTAGCAGAAGGGACTGTTAGGGAGAAAATCCAGCCTATTCACCAGCGTAGGATAATGTGCCATGTGCAGTCTGCAGTTAGAAAAGTCCTTGATTTTTGAGGTAGAAAATTTCTTCTGGAAGGAAATTATAAAAGAACAGTTGGAATTCTTTTTTCCCCTCCGAAAGGACAGAACTGAGTTTTTAAATAAAACATTTTCAATCAAAACCAAAATTTTATTCTCAGCAGAAATAAAATTTCTTTGCAAATTATGAAATTGGAGGTACAAAGAGATCTAGATGTCTTATTATAATAATGATATTTATAATCATCAAACATAATTTTTGCATTGCATTTTCTTGTCAATATAAATAGTAAGTAGTCATGTTTACTTTAAAATAATACATGGAAGCATTATTATAATAATACAATAAAATCTGCATGTTAGAAAAACTAGTTCTTTGATCTTCCTGTAGCTGTAACTGAAAACATGGTAAATTTCTACTTAGGAAAGGAGTGATTATTTAATGTTTTTGCAGAATATCAGCAGTGGACATTATACTTATAGGGCTAATTGATTTGAATACTATATGTGAATTATACTTAAGAATCCTATCTTTTAATCAAGTAAGAAGGTTCTTATTTTTATTCTCTCTACCTACATTTCAGAAACTCAATTAGGCACTTCGTGTTTCTAGCTGACATTCCCTTTATCCACATTTATTTCATTAAAAAAGGCAAAGCCACACATAATTAAGAACCTGGTGTGCTAATAACCAAACATACAATTGGGCAGGATAATCCAATCCATTTCCTCTCACAGGAGAGTAACCTCCATAACTCACTTTAAGCGCTGCCATGCATGAGTTATGGGTCATTCCCTTTCTCGTGAAAATAAATTCTCTCACACCATCAGCCCAAGCTGGGTATTTTTCTTAGGACATGTAAAAGTGTACGAACATGATCATGTCTGGCGTTACAGGAAAAGCATAAGCTTTTGTTTGTGGACACAGGTTTGCAAGGAAATGTATGTGGTTTGGGGGTTAGGCTACCTACTGACAATAGAGGATTTTTTATTAAAATGAATTTATTCTTGATATTTTCACTATGCTGGTAAACTGCTTAATCCGTTGCTTTGTGTTGTATGATGCCAGCTGAATCCTGCAGGTCAGAGAGACCCAGCAGCAAAGCCATGGTGTTTCTCACAGTATCCATTCTCCGCGGTGTGTGATTTCCTGGTGACATTTTCTTGGGACTGAAATCTATCATCTAAGGTTGTTAAATTGGGAGCATTAAAAAGTTTTAATTTTTCACGGGTCTCATGTTTGATCTTGGTGCAACAATGGCTAATAAAAATTGGGGTAAGCTTTAAGGAGGCTTCATGTTACTGAAATTCATCGACCTGGCTTCTCATCACACTGAGAGATCTGTCTTTCTGCGTAGTTAAAGTGCACCAAGTGATTTGACTCATTTCTGTGCTCACAAGCCATGTGTCCTATTTTGTTGAGGTACTAGTAATTTTTTCATAAACAAAATACAAACTTTTTCTAAACATAGACAAAACGTGTTGCCCTTGTCCTCAAATAAAATCATAAAACACACACCATATATATACATTCTTAGTGTTGAAAGCTAAGTCCTTAAGAATATGATACATTTTCTTCTTTTAAATGGAGTACAGGGCCGGGGATTTAGCTCAGTGGTGCCTCTGCCTGACTCACAAGTGCAAGATCCTGGGTTTGATCCCCAGGACCATAAATGAATGAATAAATAAATAAAGAAATAAAATGGAGTACATGTGCTACATACAGCTATGTTTATTGATACTATCTAAATTAAAATATAAACCTCAATTTTCTCGTCTTTTTTAAGTTTTACTTCATTTTTAATTGACACATAATTCTCAATTCTGATTACTGCATATAGTCTGAAATTTTTTCTTATACCATTTGTATATCTTTGTGTGTATCTTATCAAAATGTGAGAACAGAGATATAGTGACCAATTATTATTTGATCATATCATGACTCCCTGAGAATGAAATAATGTGGTGAGAGATGCCAGAGGTTTGCTTTGAAGCAGTCCAGCCAACAAAACGAATGAAACAGTATGTGAAGAGACAGATAAAACAAGACTGACAAAATGTGAACTCCTCTTGGTTAGGCAATAAATACATGGCACTCATTATAGTCTTCTATTTTTCTTTGCTTTTAACTTTCAAATATATTTATATTAATTATACTATTAGCTTAAGAATTAAATCTTGGAAGGGGATAAAAGCAACTATAATTGTATAAAATCAACCTAATGTTTTTCATTTATGCATCAAACATTTGTTCAACATGCATAACTGTAGCAAATAGAGCTGGTTATGCACTTGCAACATTATTTGAGGTTAAGGTCATTATATGCCCCTAACATGCCTTAGATCTGACAATTTGAAGGCAAGTGCCTTCAGAGGCTCTTGGTTATAACAGAAAGGCAC